CGTCCGAAAAGTCGAAAAAAAGACAGCATACAGCATGAGGATGAAAATAAACTTGTGAACATTTCGCAAGAGCACGTAGAGCCATCGTCACCATCAGCCCCCGGAGATAATGTTCGAAAAACGAGCGACGAGTCATCGACGTCGAAGGATGACGGTCAGATTCGTTTGCAGCGTTTCGGTGGTAAATTCGCTGGTGAAGTCACCAGTGAGGATAGCTTGGACACTAAAGATCCTGAAACGTCGCGAATGTAAATCGTTTTCAATATCCATTATCAATTTTTTAAATTGTTGTTGACAATGGTCACGCTATTTCAACACACACGATAATTCTCATTCACTTCAAACTTTTTGCATTATGAGGATTGACAGTGTTGCTGTTAGTTTTCATTGTTAGTTTCCTAATGTGTAGACTCTCAGAATCCGATTGAGTTCTCTTTGAGCGCAACACCCAGCAACAGATCTCTTCAATGACGGATGCTGTTTTGCAATGTTACTTTGGATGCGGTTGCCAAAAGGATGCTCGTATTTTCACAGTTTATACACTTTCTCAAATTAGATTCTCAATTCGCTAATTTTAGTAGAAAGGCTGAATATTTCAGCGAAGGCAACACAAAAGTAGTAGGTTCGAATCTTCTTCTGGAAGAGAGCAAGTATCCGATAGAGAAGGAAACCGAACTTCCAAAAGAAGGCTTCCATCTTCATGAAACACCTCGAGATCATGAAGAACAGGCTAGTGGCTGTAATATCGTCAGATGAGACTTTTGTGAAAAATTACTTACAAGTTTCGGACACAATGTAAATGCCGCCCAACAGCGTGATGCATAAATAATCCGATTGTAAACTAAGGTCAGGTCGACGCGAAATTGGGCCTGGGGATCTCTGAGGCCAGTAGTAGAGTTCAAGAGCTCCCGGAGGTAGAAAGGAAGGTCACGGGACTTTGAGATTTCGTAAGTTCTGGAAACCTCCGATTTTCGGGTGTCTAAGAAGCAACCCTTTGTGAGAAGAAAATCGCGATAGCTTTCCCTCGGCTTGAAGTTCGTAGCAATTGTCCACCTTTAAAAGAACAATTTCATTATTAATCAATTGCACTTTATTTGTTTAATTGATCATTTTTTTGGCAACTCATATTCTAATAGAATATGTTTCAGTTAGACGCCCTCATTGAAAGTGTGAGCAAATTTCTTGGAGATGTACCGGAGCCACAAGAAATAAATGCACCTGGACACGAAATAGCTTCAACTACTGACACTTCCGAAACTGAATGCTCTCAAATGAGTCGAAACTCAAAACATGACCGCGATCAAAAGCTTGAGCAACTGATCGCCCGCATTGGTCAACTCAGTGATCACAAAGTGTTTTGTGAAACATGCCATAGAATGTGAGTTATTCGGTTACACTTTTTAAAAGCTCCATCCATTATTACCTCGGACTATGCGCTCTATGCTGAAAGTTATGTGGACCAAAGAAACTCATTGGGGAAAATATTTATTAGTCAAAGATTAGAGCCTAAATGACAACCTTTGCCATTTAGGACTTTGCATGATGGAAATATAATGTTATCCTCGCAGAGCCAGTGGATTACTTCCGTCGAAACATCAATAGATTCGAGTCTTTGATTGCGTTTCGAAAAACTTGTTCAACTTCATATTTTTTACAGGAGAGGAAAGGAGACTGCAGGACATCCACCAGTTTGTCCAAGAGAACGGGTTAGTTATACTGTGCATATTGCTAAATACCCCATTCATAAATCAAGTTATTGGTCGAAAATTTGAATTTTTTCGATCATTCCGTTAATCTTACAAATTATAGAAGTTTCACTGAATCAACTGAAACTTTTTATTGGTTGACTTCGATTAGGATGAATCTTGCAGAGTAGTCGATCAAGGAGACGGATCGGCTCAGCGACTTCACATGGCTCATCCTCCATACGTTCTTCGGATGGGACAGGATCATCCGTTCCCGGCCGCAGATACCATCACGGTTTCGTGCCATCCGTCTCGGCATCGTCACATCCAAGCGTAAAGGAGATTACTGGTCGAGATCGTTGGAAAATATAGACGAGACAAGCTTACAACCCTTTGGGAGGAGTCCTGGTCATGCCAGACATGCCCGGGTCAAGAGACGATGACGCGACAGGATAAGAATGTAGGGGAAACAATCCATTCAGTTAATGGACAATGTGCATCTCTTTCATATGTGACTATATTGAGGATGTAGGAAGTTTGTAAAGAAATGGTAACATTCCTGCAGAGAAATGTGGTGTTCCCTATGAATAAATGTTTTTTGCGATTTGTTCATTTCTGATATCTATTGTCGCGACTAGCGCGAAAAGCCAGCCAGCATACAAAGAAGATAGTACTTAAATCAAATAGAAATGGTTGAGCAGTGGTCCGATAGTGTACTGGTGTAACGATGCTGGGCTTTGAGGATCCGATCAGTTCAGAAGGCGTGAATTCGATTCCGCGCCGGTCCAAAATCTTTGACAAAGTTAGATCTCATTCAAGAGATAATCAAGAGGGCTTAGATTCGACATCTATACTTGTAGGACAATTCCGAAAACTATGCATTTTCATACATTTTAACCTTACTCAATCATAGGACTTGACTAAGCCAAAACATAAGCTTAATCGTAAGTCTAAGTAGCTAAGTGATCTACGCTTTCACACTCAGAGAAAGCTGTGCCCCAGAACACTGCAAATTGCTTATTGTTAGTTTGTGGAAATGCGGCATTACCTTATTTCCTATAAAGATAATAATATGCACGGTAAATTTCAACGTCAACAGTTATGCAAACACACTGACCTTCTTCGCAGTATTTCTTTAATGATAAGGCGAATGTTAGCGTTCGGCACGAAAACATTTCATCTTTCTTTGAATGGTTGTCAGTACGCAAATAAACATCTCACAAACACTTTGATGACATTTCACCTCACATTTCCGTTAAAATGTGATCGAGAGCAATTTTTTATTATGATGTTTGCCATTAAAATCTATCATCATGAGAGTAGTAAGGTTTCTGAGCATTTTTTTCGATATCTAAGCAATCTTTTTGAGTGATATAATGATTTTCTGAGGAATACAACAATTTTTTCGCACACATAAACATGAATCAAGCCCCAAAATATTAATTTTCATTGCCTGTTTTTATTGTTTTTGTTTATTCTGCGCAGGATTTTTTTCTATTTGATTATTTTATTTTCATGGTGATATTTCTTTTCGAATACTTCAATTTGAGACTCTCTTATCTCCAATTGATATTCTTATTATGTTCCGCTTGAACCGTTCATTCAGTTTTTTAAAAATTATTTCGCTGACCAAAAACTCTCTACGAGACACCTTTATTCTCTAACTTGTTTTCCACGTTATTATTTATGCTCAGCTGATTCCCACACCTTAGTTGCTATTGATTGTCCATTTTGACGGTTTTACCATTTTCTGTTTCTATTATTTTCATCCGTTGAAATGCCTCAAAAGCTGCTTAACATGTCATAACGTTATCACCGTTTAACGTTATCACTATTCATCCNTTGAAATGCCTCAAAAGCTGCTTAACATGTCATAACGTTATCACCGTTTAACGTTATCACTATTCTTCTCATAAACTCGAAAGTGTTTCCACTATCAGTCTCAACTGCTAAGTGATAACCGAAGTTGATTTAATACTACAATGGAAAAATACTGACAAAATTGTGAGAAAATATTATAAATCAGCGATAACAACCAAACATTTCTTGTTTTACAGTTGTCTTCGTCAACAGAAAAAACAATGCTTATTACTGACAACATGATATATTTATAGGAGAAAATTACTTTTATCAACAAATCATTCTATTTCTGTCATTCTCTACGGTTATTTTGCCTACCGAAACATGCCCAGTGCTAGTAAATTATTAATCCACTTCCGCGTATCATTATTATCACCGCAATCAATCATATGATCGCAATGTCGCTCGCTTATTCATCCATAAATTATGCATCATAGCAATAAGATCATTTCCCTGAAAGAACACACAATGTTCTGATCTCATCTGATCTAAGTGATTTATTGTTCTGTCAGATGATGTAATCGATCTTAGTTGATCACGTTTCCAATTGTTTCGTTTCCACATATCTTTTAAAAGCATAAGCAGACACGGATATCA